CATGTACAATCTTGCATGGTTTTACAGAAGGGACAGTTAGAAAGGCTCTTCTCTGAGCAGATGCCTTAGTGCCTGGTTAGAGGTTTAGTCTGTACCTTGCATTGCAAGTTGAGAGTTTTGTGGGACTTACCTGTGACTTTTCTCTCCCTTGCAGCCTTGGGCGCCGCCTATGGTACAGCAAAGAGCGGCACGGGTATTGCTGCCATGTCGGTCATGAGGCCAGAGCTGATCATGAAGTCCATCATCCCTGTGGTCATGGCGGGTATCATAGCAATCTATGGCTTGGTAGTGGCAGTCCTTATTGCCAACTCCCTCACGCATGACATCTCGCTATTCAAGTAAGTGTCTCGGGTGACAGCCTCCCTGAAAGCGGTGCCCAAACCACGCCGGGCTGCAGAGGCCAGTTGTAGGCTTGGGGATCAGACTGTTGATGGAATACATCCCACTGGATTCCATTCTGTGCTCCATGAAAGGGAAAACGCTGACGATAAGCTGCAGACCAGAAGGAGCAGGGGCAGAGTTAAATGTAACAGTACAGTAAATGGTAGTATTTATTTTGGAACTTGGTACCCATAAAGATTTTTTTTTTGAAGTGGAACAGAAATAGGTAGGACTTCAGGATCATTGTCAATACAATTTGATAAGAGACCTTATCTATTTCAGCTGTATCTCTGTAGAGCAGAGGAGGAGGAGATGTTGCCCCTAAAAGCTTTGGGTACATCCACCAGAGTCTTTCCAAATGTTCAATGTGATGAAAGGAAGAGTGTTCTCTATATGAGGGATGACCGTAGGATTTTTTAAAAATCCAACGTAAATTAAATTTGTAATTGTCCTGGCCCTGCCAACTGCTTGGAGTGGACATTCTGCACACTGTTCAAAAGCCACAGTGAGCCCACAGTCCAGAAAAAAGTTCTGCACCCCTTGTGTAGGGCAGTAGGCATACGTGTCTTGACTAAGCCCAGCTTTGGAATCATATGGCCAAGATGGAGTCTCGCAGTAAGTGGCTCAGTTCTAGGCAGAAAACAAAGTGTTGTGATAGGAAGCCTCTGGATCTCCAGACCTTACTTAAAACACAACTCGACAGAGCTCTAGCCATCATGTCCAATAATGGGGTCTCCCAGGAGGAGATCCACATCTTGAAGTTTACAGATTCCCCATCCCTCATCAACAGCAGTGGTTTTTGTGTTCTTAAAATTGCAACAGGACAAACCTCAGCATCTAGTTCTCACAAAGGGTCCATCCCGCCAGAAAGACCCTCCTTCGCCTTTTGGGGTACCATCTGGGATCTGAAGCGTTAGGCCCAGCACCAGAGAGCCCACGGCCTGGATTTGTTTGCAGAACTGACTCTTGACTTGAGCTCTGGTGGCTCTCCTTGCTTCTTCCATTGATGAGGCAAAATCCTTTAAAATGAAATAACTCTGATATCCAATGCAACAGTTCAGCTTTTAATTATTCAGTGATGCTTAATTTGAAACGTGTCTGTAAACTAATCCTCTTGCTGCTACATTAGACAGGTCCAGAAGTTGTCCTGCTGTGCTTAAAATGAGCTGAGACACAGTTTTAAATTTTCATGAGTGGCTGTAGTTGGCTAAGGGGACACACTCATGTTTGTCCATACAGGAATAACAAGCCGTAACTATATTGCCTAATGTAGTTTCAGTCAATCTGTGTCTCTTCTAGAGATCAGAAAAACTAAGATGAATTAGAAAGGAAGGTTGAGGAAAAAGAATGTGGGTGCAAGAGCGGATGGTTGTAGCATCATTAGAGGAAAGCTAAGAATAGCTTGCCAAGAACTTGAATGAACAAAATGCTTTATTGCTGACAGTGAGACTTGGCCACTGTTATAAAATTTGCTGGATTGAATATATGAGATGTTACTGTCGTTCCTGTTGCCTCAGGAAGAGACCAGGGGCTTCACCCAATATGCAAAACCACTGTGGCTCATGAACTAAATGAACACTTAGTTTCATGAACTAAGTTTCTTTGTAAGCCCAATTGTGGCTTATTCAACAAACGATCACGTAGCACTGTAGGAACCCAGCATTTGTATACAGAGGTTCAGATGCAGTTGTATCTCTTCTACAAGAACCAAATCCAAAGCAGCAGTGAATTGGCAGCTACTTTGCAGAAGGACTAATTTGCTTCCTGCTTTGATTTGGGATCAAGTATATGAGGTAGTCTTTTTTAAAGAAATAAATATAGCAACATAAGTCAGCAGAGAGTCCTAAAATCTATGACATGTGTTCCACTACAGTTTCAGCCGCAATAGCTCATGGTGGCTGCTTTGTTGTTTGCCGTTTAAGGGGGTTTGAATCTTCTGGCATACGCAGCAGTCTTCCTCTTGCCAAGTCATTGTTCGTAGTCTGGAACCCTGCACCAGCGTTGCTGCCTTAGTGCTCTGGGTTCTGCTGGGCACGGTTATGTGGAGCTGCGTGATGCTCTTAATTGCCAGGGCTCCTTGTCACAGGAGAGTAAACGTGACCCACTCTCTGCAGGGAGGCTTTAGGCTGGCCTAGGCGAAAGAAGCCCAGCTTTTAGAAGGAGTTCCGAGATGGGTCCTTTTTCAACAAAATCTTCTGTGACTGGATGCTGCTGTCCCAAGGCCTTGTTGGAGAGCACCAGGGCTGGAGAAGGTTGGCTTCCAGAGAGGAAGTCAGATTCTTTCCGCGCTGCTCCAGAACAGTCGGGCTTCCCTGGCTGCAGCGGGTTACTTCTAATTTGCAACTCAGCTTGTCTCCCCTTCCCTTCCCTTCCCTTCCCTTGCAGGAGCTTCCTTCAGCTGGGCGCTGGACTAAGCGTAGGCCTCAGCGGGTTGGCCGCCGGCTTTGCCATTGGCATTGTGGGTGACGCAGGTGTCCGGGGGACAGCGCAGCAGCCAAGGTTATTTGTGGGCATGATCCTGATCTTGATCTTCGCCGAAGTCTTGGGGCTGTACGGCCTCATCGTCGCCCTTATCCTTTCCACAAGAGGGTAATCGCCGCAGAGTATGATCCAAACAAAACAAACTAAGTTCCAGAATGAAAAAAAAATGGTCTCTCCACAATGTGTACAGTTGTCATCAGTTTGGTAGTTGATCTCTTGTAAATGCGCAATGTATGTGACTTGTCTGTCCTGTGTGTACTTCCGTATGAAAAGCAGGAGGAGCTGTCACAAGCCCTCTTCTCAAGGCTTGGGGGAAGCTCACGTGCTGTTTTCCATCCATTTTGCCATTAGAGTCCTTTATGTATAAATATGAACTAGAAACAGTAACTTTCCCCTCTCTTCATTGGATGTTTTATTTATAAGACTTGACATGTTCATACATAATGGAACAAGAGTTTTCAATTTCCCATGCTCTCTCTATATATATTAATCTCATGCATAGATAGATTACTACACTGTGGGGTTAACTGTAAGTGCAGAGAAATCCTTGGATGTAAATTGATTCTCAAAGATTGCTGTTGTGTCCTGGTATCGGAGTGTAAGACTGTTTGTGTTTATACAGATAACAGCAAAAATGTCTGAGACACTCCTGTGTTCCCAGTAGTAAAAACTGTATGCTCTGGCATCAAAGTTGTGCAGCCAATGTTGGGTTTTGCAGTAATACGTTTCCAGGTAATAAAAATTTCCTCCACTATATCATTGTAACAAGGTGTGTTTTGATGTGATTTGTCTTGAGAGGTGGGTTCTCCAAACCCTGGCGCCATCCAACATGGCTGACCCCCCCCCGCCCCCCAAAAATCCTCAGGTTGTGAATGCCTGGACCTTACTAACAAACATGACTTGGAGGGGGAGGGGGGCTGGGTTTACCCAGCCTGATGAACCTGGTCAGTTAGAGACCTCAGCTGCATTCCTGCCATCTGGGGAAGCTTGGTTAGTTTTAATGTTGAATAGGTTGGGGCATTAGCAGTTTATGTGAACTCAGCCCACTGGGTTAATTTAGAGTTCATGGTATTGAACAAACCCAGGAATTGAAGTAAACCCTTAGCATGGCTAAGGGTATTGTGAGAATCAAGCTAGGAAATAAACAGGTCAGGAAGGCAAGTGTCCAGCCGCTTCCTAATGCTTTTAATACTGGGCATAACTGTCTTCCAACTTGGCTGTTTTTCTCTGCCTAGGACTGGGTGAGGATGCTCTGACGTTGAAGAGCCTGCAGCTTCTGTCTGCATGTCTAAGCTGAGGCCAGGCTCTGTACAAGCGGGTATCTACGTAGACAAGCAAGGCTAGCAACAGGCCTTCACATGTCCTGGTATAAGGCTAATTGCAGGGTAGTCTAGTCTCTAATACTATAAACCACAGTTTCCATTAGCTGGGGCTAATGTTGTCAGTAACAAGCGATTGTGCCCATTCTCAGAAAGCTGCCTGCCCTTGCAGTAAGTCTTTACAGCCAGGTAGATGGAGAGCTGTTATTATCCTTGCTTTCATATGTGGGTCAACCTTTCTCAGTGAATGCCCTCCAGAGAGGGTGTTCAGCTTCCTCAAATTTCCTAGCCCGTATCACTGTTCTGAGAATTCTGGGAGATGAAGTCTGTGCTCCAAGAAGTCACCCGGGGGGAGGGACACTGCTGTAGATACTGTGTGATCTTGACTGCCAGCTCTGTGCAGTCTGGAGTCCATCTCTCCTCACCCCTAATATGGACTCCCAACTCCTAGATCTCATAATTGGCAACAGGAGTGAATATTTCTCTAATATGGATTTGTCTATTAAGACAATGACCAAACAAGCAGCCCAGTAGGAATATATAAGTATTAAAGGTGTTGTTTTAGTTGGGGGGGAGGGGGAAGTAATTACTTTAAACTTAAATA